AGTTCAGACGTGTGCTCTTCCGATCTTCTCCCTTTCTATCCGTGTAATTCCATGAAACATCAGTAGGATCGTTTTCTCAAGTACCGATTTGGAAAGTAGAGATTTCAAGCTGTAAAATGCTTTTTTGATCATCTCGATACGATCATTTTTGACGAAGTTACACTCTCTTGAATTTTGCCTATTTTTGGAGGCTAGAACAGGTGATCCTTTAATTTTTTGGACCAGTGTATATCTATATATGTATATTGGTTATTTTCTATGTGTGTCCTTATCTGTTATGTCTTCATACTTTAGATGGAGTTAGACATTAATAGTTTCTCTTCAAAAATACGAACAGATACTTATAATTATGGGAACAGAAAGAGAAACATCATAATGTACTGCAGTGATCTGCAAATTTTTGGAGTTTGAAGATGTATAACAAATTCTACATAAATTGAAATAAACATAAATTGTAATATGTAGAGTTGAATAACACACACACACACACACACACACACGCGCAGAGAGAGAGACAGTTTTATATTGATTAAAAAAAAAATTAATAGTGCCATTTATTATAAAAAGAAAATAACTAAATATATATAAAATAATGTATATTGTATAACATAATCAAAAAAGTGAAAATATTTTTAATGGAAATAATAAGAGCATTGATACACCAAAGCTATGATGATTATTTACAAAACTAGATATCTCTAATGCTTTCTACATTTTATTTGGCAGCTTCAATTAAAAGTGCATTATTTATAATTACATTTAAAAATTTGTTATATTAATATTTAATTCGATCGGTTTTAAATCTCGAACATACGTAAATGATTATTTAGCAAAATTTCTTTCTCCTTCTCTTGCGTAGACAAGTAGACGATTAGATCTGTCAGGATAAAGAATGAAATTTATGTAGACGAAACTCGCGACAGTGACTCTATCTAATCGTCGTACGGCACTTTATTAGACGAGAGTCTCAAATCTTATTTATTAAAAATAATGTTGCAATACTTTATTTGTTTTCTACTGCTATTCAACTTTTAGAAATAAATTTATTATTATTCGTGGCTGCATTTTTAGCGCATCGTTCTGTTTGTTATTTACTACAGATACATGTTATTCAATTTGCGATTAAGAAAAAGTTAACTGTTTGAGAACCTAAAAGAGGAATGTATATATGGAATGTTCACGAGAGATGTCAACTGCCTAATTTACTCAATAAACGTATCGTATATCGTGTCAGCGTGTGCATCTTCCTCGTGCTAGAGCCTGTGTTCCGCTATTAGCGAATAGCCGTGGCGTGCACACGAGCGTGCAGTAATAACACGAGTCGCAATAACGATTCGCACATGCGACGGTAGTGATGGCGATCGCAGCACGATAACAGCGATTTACATCCCATAATCCAGCTCAGGCGTTATCGAGCTTCGCGCTATCAACTTCAAATCAGGTTCTGGACGTCGCACTTGTCTGAAATAATATAGCGAATACTCCGTATTTTATCACGCGACAGCGGGATCGCTTGATCCATCTATCACGGCCTGTTATCATTTTATAACTTTCCCAGAACGCTGCTTTGCTCGAGAATGAGAACGTCACGACGCGTCAGTGCTTGCAATCATTGTAACTTACACGCAAACGCATGATTACCTTTCAATGTATTTTCTGATCAACACGAAGTGGATTTTTCGACAACGTGTGAATCTTAATTTGAATCTTAATCAAAATATATTTAACAAAATTGCAGTACAGATATAACTTTTTGTATATAAGATTTTTTTATACGAAACCATATTGAGAAACTGCACATTTTCACACATACAATAAATCTGATAAATACATGTAGTTAAACGGATATAACAATCAGTAATGAGATCTACAGTAATAACGTCGTTTCTACAAAATAAGGGACTAACCGCAGAAACAATTTCTTTCTCATCAAACCGATAATTATCTGCCCCGTAAATCTCGCGAAATTTATAACTCGCGTCAGATTTATCTTGGCCGATGAGCCGCAGATAAACGATATAGTAACAATTCCGATCCCGTATACGTATCGCGCTTTATAAAAGTCGCAGGACCCATAACCATTGTTTTTGCCGTCGCCGCCTTTTAAACCGGCTCTAAAACCGATAGAAGGAGACCGAATCCGGTTATTTCAGAGGTAATAATTAATTATGCGCCATTACCTTAACGGCGGAGGGGAAGACGGGAGCCGGTCTCCGTCGCGTTCGACAACGAGCGAATTAAGATCGGACGTGGGGGCCCGAGAAAGAGGAAGAGAGAGAAAGAGAGAGAGAGCGGATATAAAAGTTCAGGTATTCCGCTCTTCTTTCTCCCGACGGCGACGCAGAGAAGAAACGAGCAATCCTCGCGTGGCCGTTAACCCTTTAAGTGTCGACTGTGAACTCGATCTACTCGTTAGGTTATCGCGAGCCGTCCCGAGCCGACGGCGGGGAAGAACGGCGCGGAATGTGCTGCAGGTAATCGAGAGGAGAGTGGTGGAACCTGCCGGATATCGTCGGGAAAGACGAGCGGGTTTTAGCGATAGTCTTTTGCGTGACTTTTGATAGTGCTTAATGTAATTCTACATATATACAGGGTGGACCATTTTAATCCATCCAGTCGAATATCTCGAAAATCAAGCCCGGGAGAGAAAAATTTTTCAGACAAAAGTTGTAGGGTTTCGAGGGGGACATAAGATGATAACATTGGTTTGACCCTGAGTGGCGTCGTCAAGGTCAGGACAAGGTCACTTTGAATTTTTTAAATGGAATCCCCAATTTTTCATTACATGTTCTTATAGCACGCCTCGAGAACTTTCCAAAACACATAAATAAA